AGGAAAGACACAAAGCTACACAGAGAAACCCTGTCTCGAAAAAACCAAAAAAAAAAAAAAAAAAAAAAAAAGAGAAAAAAAAATGTTTCATTATTAGGAATAAATGCAAAACAAGTGTAAAAAAGTTATAAGACAGTATGAAATTAGTTTTAAGAATGAAGAGTTCATGCCGGGTGGTGGTGGCGCACGCCTTTAATCCCAGCACTCGGGAGGCAGAGCCAGGCGGATCTCTGTGAGTTTGAGGCCAGCCTGGGCTACCAAGTGAGTTCCAGGAAAGGAGCAAAGCTACACAGAGAAACCCTGTCTCGAAAAACCAAAAAGAATGAAGAGTTCAATTGGGAAGATTAGCTTTCTTCACAGTAACATAATAAATTATGTAAGTTTTTCTGTTTAGTTTTAAGTTACTTGTTTTCAGTCTGTATCAATTAATCTTTCATTTCAGAGCAGCACTGTTCAAAGCTATTAGCCATATGTGGCTATATATCCTTGAATGTAGCTAATCCTAAGATATGGGTACTTTATGTATAAAATACACAAGCTTCAAAGAATATGTATATATGTGTGTGTGTGTGTGTATATATATATATATATATATATATATATATATATATATATATATATATATATATATGTGCCGGGCGATGGTAGTGCACGCTTTTTAATCCCAGCACTTGGGAGGCAGAGGCAGGCGCATCTTCATGAGTTCGAGGCCAGCCTGGTCTACAGAGTGAGATACAGGAAAGGCGCAGAGCTACACAGAGAAACCCTGTCTCAAAAAACCAAAAAAAAGTAAAAATATCTCATCATTAATGCTGATTATGTGCTGAGATGGCAGGATTTTGTGGGCTGGGGATGGAGCTCTGACAGTTCAGTGGCAGCATTTGCAAGCCCTGCATTTGACCTCCAGAACCAATAAATGAACAAACAAATTAAATAAAAGAAGAAATGGCAATATCATATATAGTCAGTTAAACAAAACATTTTTTTTTAAAAAGAATTTATAATTGTTTTGATGTGTAGCAAGTTATTATCAACTGGAGAAAAATATTTGTTTACATATATATGTAAATTATAATGTTTATTTTAAGGATAAAATATTGGCAGTTCCCATTGCTATTAAAGTTTCGTTCCTGGAAGAATAATGAAAGCTGTAAATGGAAGCTGCTGACAGTCTTCATCTAGCGTATATTCATATGAATATGATGCATATTCAGACACTAATGGACTGAGACTGTTCCAGCTTGTAAGTCCAGGACCTTTAAAAAGCTAAACAGAGCAGAAGTACACACCTGCATTGCCTGCACACACAGCAGAAGTACACACCTGCATTGCCTGCACACACAGCAGAAGTACACACCTGCATTGCCTGCACACACAGAAGTACACCTGCATTGCCTGCACACACAGCAGAAGTACACACCTGCATTGCCTGCACACACAGCAGAAGTACATACCTGCATTGCCTGCACACACACAGAAGTACACACCTGCATTGCCTGCACACACACAGAAGTACACACCTGCATTGCCTGCACACATAGCAAAAGTACACACCTGCATTGCCTGCACACACAGCAGAAGTACACACCTGCATTGCCTGCACACATAGCAGAAGTACACACCTGCATTGCCTGCACACACAGCAGAAGTACACACCTGCATTGCCTGCACACACAGCAGAAGTACACACCTGCATTGCCTGCACACACAGCAGAAGTACACACCTGCATTGCCTGCACACACAGCAGAAGTACACACCTGCATTGCCTGCACACACAGCAGAAGTACACACCTGCATTGCCTGCACACACAGCAGAAGTACACACCTGCATTGCCTGCACACACACAGAAGTACACACCTGCATTGCCTGCACACACAGAAGTACACACCTGCATTGCCTGCACACACAGCAGTACACACCTGCATTGCCTGCACACACAGCAGAAGTACACACCTGCACTGCCTGCACACACAGAAGTACACACCTGCATTGCCTGCACACACAGAAGTACACACCTGCATTGCCTGCACACACAGAAGTACACACCTACATTGCCTGCACACACAGCATAAGTACACACCTGAATTGTCTGCACACACAGAAGTACACACCTGCATTGCCTGCACACACAGAAGTACACACCTGCATTGCCTGCACACACAGCAGAAGTACACACCTGCATTGCCTGCACACACAGCAGAAGTACACACCTGCATTGCCTGCACACACACAGAAGTACACACCTGCATTGCCTGCACACACAGAAGTACACCACCTGCATTGCCTGCACACACAGCAGAAGTACACACCTGCATTGCCTGCACACACAGCAGAAGTACACACCTGCACTGCCTGCACACACAGAAGTACACACCTGCATTGCCTGCACACACAGAAGTACACACCTGCATTGCCTGCACACACAGCAGAAGTACACACCTACATTGCCTGCACACACAGCAGAAGTACACACCTGCATTGCCTGCACACACAGCAGAAGTATACACCTGCATTGCCTGCACACACAGAAGTACACACCTGCATTGCCTGCACACACACAGAAGTACACACCTGCATTGCCTGCACACACAGCAGAAGTACACACCTACATTGCCTGCACACACAGAAGTACACACCTGCATTGCCTGCACACACAGCAGAAGTACACACTTGTATTGCCTGCACACAGCAGAAGTACACACCTGCATTGCCTGCACACACAGCAAAAGTACACACCTGCATTGTCTGGACTGGGAAGGAGGCATCCAGAGGATGGGGAGTTTAAAGTCAGCTTGGGTTATACAGTGAGACCCTATCTCAAAATGAAAACAAAACAAGAAACCAAACACAGAATTACTAGTACATGGTCCATCAATTCCATAAACACTTAAAGAAATGAGAGCAGAGACTTGAATAGACAGTTTCATGTCAGTGCTCGCTATGGAATTACCCACAACAGCCAATACAGAAACTATAAGAGTATCCATCAGCAAAGGGAATAATCAGAATGCTATATACCTACAATGGACTATTATTCAGTTTTAAAAGCTGCTCTTGCAGAGGACCTGGGTTTGCTCCTTGACACCCTCATACCGGCTCACAATCATCTAACCTATTTGGATCACCTATTTCAGGGATCCAATGCTCTCTTCTAATTTCCATGGCCACCAGGCATGCATGAGATGCACATACATACATTCAGGCAAAACCTCCTGAGACACATAAAATAAATCAATCTTATTTTTTTAAGTTTTGATACATGCTCCAATATGGATAAATTTTGAAACCATATTTAATAAAATAAGCTAGCTACAAAAATATTGCATGTATCCACTCATATGCAATACCTAAAATTGCCAAATTCATAAAGACAGAAAATGGTTCAAGGCCTAGAGGGAAATAGGAATGGAGAAATCTTATAGTAAAAACAAGATAGTAAAACTCAGTGAATTGTACCCTTAAAGTAGATATTGTATACAAATTATATTTAAATTAAAGCTGTTTTTAAAACAACCCAAGATGGATAAGCTAACCCTGAATCTGGGCTCTGCTACCTGCTAACTGCTTGACCTGAGGGAGTTCCCTGTGCCCTACTCAGTATCTCACTCTCTCTCACGCCATACCGTCTCATACCATGAGGAGTAAATGACCTAACATCTGTCAAAAGAGGCCTTTAACTGTCAATTAAAAGAGGCTTCAGAGACAAATGGACACTCGAAAACAGAAAATAAACACTAATGTCTACAACATTAGTAATTCCCCATTTTCACAAAATCTGAATCAAACACCGTTAACATGACGTGCAGAAAGGCACTGTGCAGCTAGCTCCTCACACACAAACTCATTTCAATTACTTTATTGGTACCTACCCTTTGCTATGTGTGGGATAACTCTTTGGAAGTGTTTAAGACTATCCAAAGTGTGGGATAGTGCTAGTAATAAGCACATAGAATCTGTTACCAGGCCAGGTTCATAGAGGTTTAAACAGAAGCACACTGGTAATGAAGCATAATGAGGGTCAATTTTGGAACTGCCTTAATTTTAACAGCTTTTTACATTCATTTTAGTTTGAACTTACAGACTTACAGGTCTAATTTTAGTTTATGACTTCTATTTAAGAGACTACCTAGGTTTAAGGTTTGGGCTCAGGTATTCCCTTTGGGTAGTTATTTAATCCAGTTAGGTTTTAGGTTTTTCATGTCTGTGATACTTTTTAAAAATGACTACCTCAAAGATTTGTCAAGATTCAATAAGCTAATATGTGGAGGAGATTTAGACCAAAGCCTAGTGTTCAGTAAGGTCAATATATAGCAATTACTATGAGCTGAACTTTACTGAAGAAAATGATATGCTATAATAGTTTAAATGAGAAATTTTCAAGTTTTATGTATATATGTATTCTTTAAAATATCAAAACAATATAATTCATAATTGTGAATGTTGCACTCATTTCAAGCTGAGTACCAAATTTGACCTAGTCTAGATTACTTATCTTTTAAAAATAAATCATACATAGTTTCCAGGATATGATGAGGTAAAGCCGAGTTAGCTAGTGACTGAATACATTGCATCTGGCTCCTAGGAAACATTTCCTGAAACTGTATAGTGATTTAGCTAACCTAATCAGTACTATGAAACTTTCAGTATTTTCTTTTTCTTTTTTCTTTTGTTTTTTTGAGACAGGGTTTCTCTGTGTAATAGCCTTGGCTGTCCCAGAACTCACTGTAGACCAGGCTGGCCTTGAGCTCACAAAATTTTGCCTGCCTCTGCCTCCCGCAGTATTTCCTTTCAATGAGCCCTTAATATATACTCTGCCAGCTAAGAAACAGACATGGTTAACTTCTAGACTCACAACTTACCACAGTTTATACCACATACATCTATGTACATTTTTGTAAGTAAACTTGAAAAGTTGGCTATACTGGGATTTCCAATAAGTTGTATTTACAAGTCAGTACAAAAGCAATTTTTTTAATGACTAAAAGGTGTGTTACTTACCAAATTTTCTCTTTCAATCCTTTGTTGTTCCCTCTGTCTGTTGAGGGCACTATGATATAACTTAGGGGGATGGCCAAGAGATCTTCCGGGAATTGTACTTTTACTTCCTGGTTTTTCAGCCTGTCTCGACAGTTCTTTCAAAAGCCTCTGATTTTCCCGATCGATCTGCCTCACCTCCTCTCTTGTGAAGGAGTAGTTTTTCCTGGGCATTATTGCAGGCTGATCAAAGTGATGTTTCTGTGGTCCCTTTTTATCTAATTGCAGAAAAGCTACAGAAGTAAACAGAAAAGTCAAAGTGGCTAAACAAAATAGCTTTGATGGTACACATTTCTTAAAAATAGCAACTAAATTGACAGAAGGTATGAAATGAGCTAATGACTTCTTTGTGTAGGAAAAAGACTGGATGCAGCTTAGAGTCTTATGTTCCTGGGTCCTTTGGGCATAGAAGCTCATGCAAATGGGGATTCATGTATGTATGGGAGTGACACTAGTTCTTAGGCAGGTAATTCACAAAACATACTCCTGCCACGTCTACTGTTGTCCTAGAGCAGTTTGAATAGCTAGGGACTCTAGGAACCTCTGGGTTGAGTGCACTGATAAAATAATTTAGGTACACTTTTTGTTAATGGGAGGGCAATGATTCAACAGTAACAACAGACGTTCTTGGCAATGACTAAGGGAAGAAATGGCAAAAATAAATCCAGACCAGTCTAGAATTACAACTTAATCTGGAAGTATTACACCACGAAAGCCATGGGTTTTAATACTGTTAAAGTATTTCTGCTATGAATGCCGAACACTAAGCATAAGCCAAAATGAACACATTATATTAAAGATATTTCAGGCCAAGAAAAAAATTGCACACTATGATTACAAAATGATTTTTGTTGAGGTGGTGGTGGGAACTGAACCCAGGGTCTTGTCCATTATAGGTAAGCATGGTACTACTGAGCTATGTCCTCTGCCTGAAAAGAACTTTTAGCAGCATGCTTAAAAATTGTTACAAACCTTTTCAGTAAGCATAACTATTACTACCTACTTGTGAAAAGCTTCTAAAACCACTTGGTGAATGTTTCTACTTGAGCATATTCTAAAGTAGTAATATATTTGATCAGGTTAACAATGTAGTTTTGGTTTTATGATATTTTTAAGATTAAAAACCCCTACTATTCCGTGTGTGCATGGCCATATTTGTCAGGGTGCATGCCAGTGTGCATATGGAGGACAGAGCCAACCCTGTGGACCTGGCTCTCTCCTTCCACCTTTCCGTATATTCCAGGGACTGAACTCAGGTTTTCAGCCTTGTGCAGCAATTGCCTGACAATGTCTACTTGCCATCTCCACAGCCCTTAAAACAATATTTTTTTAAGTAGTGCTATTGGACTATATGCTATTCCTTTTTACATTTCTAGTCTAACATCTTGTTCTGTTAGACACAGTGCTGTAAAGGGAAGAGGTATTTTTAACCCCCATTTACAATGAGTTTAACCCAATCATTTGGGCAAGTGAGCAGCAAAGCAGTAATTTTACTTAGGTTTATACCACAGACTCCAAAGACTACTGAAGATTGTAGGAACAAACAAACAAAACAGATACATAGTAGCTTCCTCAAGAAAAATCAAGGAATTAATGGTCGAGAATTAATCAATGGTAGTTGAAAACCACACCAAGTAAATGACAAAACTTGAATGAGTAGATGTTTTGAAGGATATACATACAAGCCAGGCGGTGGTGGCGCACTTTTAATCCCAGCACTCGGGAGGCAGAGCCAGGAGAATCTCTGTGAGTTCGAGGCCAGCCTGGGCTACAGCGCGAGATCCAGGACAGGCTCCAAAGAGGTTTCTAGATTTAGCTATATATGAAATTCTTTAGAAGCTCATTCTAAAGGAAATTAAATTACATTTCCTAATGACACTTTAGCTCATTAAACAATCAAGCAACAGCCTCCAAAGGGCAGCATTTAAGCTCTCTTCCACTGAACACAGCAAACAAAACAGATACCTATTTACTATTGATAGTAGGTATTACTATGCCATTTTAAAAAGTGACTCTATGCTAACTGGCATCAAATATATACTCCAATTCTTTCAAATAAAATCTAAAAATAAGTTTTAACAAACTTAAAGGACTATAGATACATTTATATTGCTGTAACTACTTAAACATTTATTTACAAATACTGTTTTCTCTGGAAGTTTCCTTCCTGAAGCAATGCCACACGAACTCTTGACATCTATTTCAACCCGTAACCAGAAAGAGCCACTTCTGGCATCCTTTACCCCACTTCCGAGTACCAGTTTGACTCTGGCCGCTACTGGAAACAGAACACTTTAAGATGTGTATGTGACGCGCGACCAGGGGAGATGTCATAAAGGCAACATTGTCTCCACTCCCACAGTGTTAGTTCTTTAAAAACCCTTCCAGGGGGCTGGAGGGGAGCGCTTGCTAGCAAAGCTTGGGGTTCGATTCCTGGCTTCTCACAAAACCGCGTGGGAATGGGGTACACAGGTGTAGTGTAATCTGATTCTAGCACTGGAGGTGGAGGCAGAAGAATCAGTAGTTCAAAGCCATTCTCAGGTACATAGTGAGTTCCCCGCTAGTCTGGAATACATGAACCCATCTCCAAATAACAAAATAAAAATCTGTTCTGTAGACAGCCATAATCTCCATAGAAAAACACGCTATAGTTACTTTATATAGCTGATTTAAAAAAAAGATTTCTTTTTAAAAGCCAACAATAATATCTAAATTTACAGATTTCTTATTTGCCTTCATAATTAAAACCTTGTTAGATGAGAAATTCTGTGACATTCTTTGGTGTTCCCCTCCTTTGAATTTCTGTAGGCTTCGTACAGCTCTGACCAACAGAGTACTGTCAAAATGGTATGTGACAAGCTTTAATTTATTTTAGATACAAATTTTTAAAGATTCATTTTACTTTTATTTTTTAGATTTTATTTTATGTGTATGGGTGTTATGCCTGCATGTATGCCTGTGTACTACATTCATGCCTGGTATCCTGGGAGGCTTGAAGAGGGTGTCAGATTCCCTGGAACTGGACTCACAGATGGCTGTGAGCTGCTATACAGGTGCTAGGAATCAAACCCAGGTACTCATAAAGAGCAGCCAGTACCCTTAGGCATTGAGTCCTCTCTCTAGGCCCCAAGATCATTCTATTTTTATTTATGCGTATGTGTCTGTGTATCTGCCAGATGCATGCAGATGCCCATAAAGTCCAGTAGAGGTGTAACAGTCCCTGGAGGTGTAGTTACAGGTAGGCAGTGAGCTCCCTGATATGAGACCTGGGCCCAACATGTGACTTTCAAGGCTAGGGGCTCGGACATACATGCGAGTGTGTGCATGAGCGGGCACACACGCGCGTGCACACATGCACATGCCTTTTGTTTGCAGGAATACTTGTGCCTGGAGCCTGGAGGCATACATGTCTGATAGTAACTTGAGAATGCCATATGCATTTGAGACCACAGACCAGTCAAAGGAAGCCACATACAGGAACTTACATCCTATCATTGAAATCATCTGAGGTCGCTGCTTTATATAACTTATCAGAGCAATAGTAACTACTACAAAATTTAGTACAAGGAAATGGAACACTACCATGACAAACCTAAAATTCACAGCTCTAGGTCTGGAACCTGATGGCAGTTAGAGCTGGAAGAGCCTGGAAAAAAATTGGGCGAGCTGGAGAGGTGGCTCAGTGGTTCAGAGCACTTGCTGCTTCTGCAGAGGATTAGAGTTGGTTACCAGCTCTGTAGGCTCACAATGACCTCTAACTCCAGTTTCAGGGGCTCCACCACCCTCTTCTGGCCTCCTCTGAGATTTGCATGCACATGTTGCACAAACACACATGCAAGCAAAACTCATACACATAAAACAAATCTAGGGGTTGGGGATTTAGCTCAGTGGTAGAGCACTTGCCTAGCAAGCGCAAGGCCCTGGGTTCGGTCCTCAGCTCCAGAAAAAAAAAAATCTAAAAAACAAAAGGTTGATGATGAAGTCTGACAGAATGAACTAGCTGACTGTTTAGCACCACTGTTATGGGGACAAGGAAAATGGCAAAAATTCCTGCTGGTGGATTTCAGCTAAGAATTTCAAGCAGGACACTGAAAACACAATGATTTATATTATCCATAGTAAGACAGGATAGAGAAATATGATCGAAAACCAAGAATTGATCAGCTTTCCAAGAAAATATAGAAGAATGTAAGACCCAGGGTTTACAGGTTTAGAATAAACAACTACTCCTCCCTTATGTCCCCAATGGAAGAGTTCAAAGTACTCAAGAGCCTTCTCACTGAACCACACACACCTGAGGAACCCTGCCTGAACCTGGACCATTGGAAAATGGAAATGCATTCTGTATACAGGAGAAACAAACAGTAGCGAAGAGATTTTAAAGCTATTTCTATAAATTAATTGACATTTACCCCATTAACAGGTAGGCTCTAGGTTGATGATACATCTCAGAAGGTAAGGGTACTTGTCTAGTATGCCTGAAACCCTAGTTTCATAGTTAGCACCACATACTACTTGGCATGATAGTATATGCCTGTACTCCTAGCACTCAGGAGGCAGAGGTAAGAAGACAGTCAGTCAAGGCCATCCTCAGCTAAAAGCCTGGGTTATATGAGACCCTGTCTTAAGAAACAAAAAACAAAAAGACATGGTCTATATCCCACCACTTTAAATTTGGGAAGTTTATAACCATTTCCACCAACACAAGAAATAGTGGTGCATGCCTATAATCCTAGCAACTGGGCAGCAGAGACAGGAGAATCACTACAAGTTCAAAGCTAGCCTGGACCTATAGCAAGTTTTAGGCCAGTCAAATCTCATACCAAGACTGTATCCAAAAGAAATCAACCAAGCACAAAGGATGCTTACGTGACTCTGAAAGCTAAGTCGCAGGGCTCTGAGATTTCTGTATTATTTTCTGGAACACACTTCTGGGAGCCCTGAGTACCATGTAAGAAGTCTAATTATCCTTGAAGAAGCTGGACCTTTGTGAGGAGACCAAGCCACAGAGAGACTAGAGTGGGCTCTCTGGCTAGCACTTCTAAACTTCTGCTGGGTCCAAGTCCAGGTACCTGACATGTGGGTCAATAAGCACTCGGGCAACTCTGTCCCAAGGCACTGAGTCACTTGACCGTTGAGTCTCTCGAGTCTACAAGTGCTGGGTAATCTGTTCTGTAGCAATGCTTACTGCTCATTTTACCCTTTTTTTAAACATATGTATATCAGAGACAAT